CAGCTTTTTTGTTTCAAAGCCTATGATCACTTATTATATAACATTTTGTTTCATTAGTCCATCATCCAAACTGTGTGTGTATATCATATATACTTGTATATGATAGACTTATATGCCTATGTGTAACATCCCGAGCGAGGCTCTCTGAAGAGAGACAAGATGGATGAAATGTAGTCCGTGCCTTCAAAGAGCTTCTGTTTGGTACTCAGATAGTTACTGAGTTTCTGCACTGCTATCATCTGCCCCTCATTTTAGCCTTTAAGTCATATATTATCTTTTCATTACTTTTATTTTTAAGTATTGTCTCCTCTACTAGATAGCATACTTTTTGAAAGCAGGCAATATATATTATAGAGTTCTGCATCTCTCCTCTTGGGTACTTCTAGCAGACACTGGGCACTGTGCTTAACAGAGTAGCCATCCCTGTAGTTTCTTTTAATTATCTTGCCTGCATATTCTGGTATAATTTTGTATTATAGTATGTATTAACAGACAAAAGTACATTTTTAGTCTATTAGGAATTCAGGGAATTATACAGTTGAGGAATGTTAGGACTGGAAGAATCTTTTTTAGATTGTTTATCTGATTCCTGATCTTTTTAGGTTGATCATCTGTTTCCTGATACTCAAGGTGTGGCCATGAATCACAGCATCAGCGTCACCTGGGGGCTTGGTAGAGGCAGAATCTCAGGCCCCACTCAGACCTGTGAGCCAGAACTTGCATTTAACACATTGACTGCCACACTAGAAAAAAGTTTTTTTTGCCCTTGGGGCCAGTGTTTTATTAAAACAAAATGATCCTTTCTAATTTGTTATTTTTTACTGTTTTCTGTGTGTAAATTATATGCAACACAATCCACGTTTTTAGAATTGTCAATATTAAATATAAAAATAAGAACATCAACAAGTAAGATTTTCACTAACCAACTGCAAGGTTTTGCTTCATGAGGCCCTCAAAACTAGCCTGAGTTTAAATACAGCTCATGTGGCAATCAGTGTGTTAAACAAGATTCTGAGATGACCCATGTGTACATTACAGTTGAGCCCTGCTCAAGGTCAGCCTCCCATTTGACTCTTGAGAAAACCAGGCAAGTCAGAGAGTTGTCCAGAGTCACACAACTGTTGGTATTTCAGTGGTTCCCAACCTTGGATATATCTTGGGACCAGTTGGGGAGCTTTAAAAAAAACACTAATGCCTGGATCCCATCCCCAAACATTCTGATGTAATTGGTTAGGATTGCGCCCTGGCATGATTATTTTTTAGATCTTCCTAGATGGACTGGCTGAGGCTGAGAATCACTGATTAGGTTAAGGATGAAATCCAGGTTTCTTGATGCTCTAATCAGATATTCTCTTCACTCCACCATAGTTATACATTTAGAAACAATGAAAAAAATCCTACTGAGTTTTACAAAATGCATCATTATATTTTATTTCCTTTACAGCATTTACCCCTATTAGAATATATACCATTTACCATCTGCCTTCCCCCCACTAGCATGTACCTCCAGGAGGGCAGGACCCTTGTCTGTCTTGTTCACTGCTGCGTCCCAGCTCCTTGAACAGTATTTGGCACATGTTAGGTGTTCCTTTAATGTTTGTAGAACAAATGGAAGGAGCTGCAATAAAGAGGGACGTGTTCTGGGGGAGGGAAGCACAGGCTTCTGTAAAGGCACCAGCAGGGCTGCCTAACCCTGTGGGTGAGAGGCTTCCTGAAGGGAGAGAGGTCTCAGTTGAAGTGAAGAGTCAGCCAGGAGAGTATGTTAGACTTGTCACTGAAGGAGGACTTGAACCCAAATCTGTCTGACTTGAAAGCTTGTGCTTTTCCATTCTGCTGTGCTGTCCTGTGGACAGAGAAGCTTCTCAGCAGTAAGTGGTGGAGCTGGGATATGACCACTTGGGCTCTGCAGATGCCCAGACTGGCTTTCCGTGCTTGGTTGCAGAGCCTCCTCAGTATTGCAGACAGGCATCTAGAGAGATCAGAACAATGAGTCTGAAAGTTCCTCACTCAGTGTGTGGCGCAGGAGTATCTAATACAAGGTAGTTAGTTCTCATCATGTATGTTTTCTTGTGCTTTGGCTTATTTGCATTGAGAACCTATAGTTTTTAAGGATAGAATGACTTGTTTGATTTCACTCTCAATTTATGTGAATTTCTTTCCTAGTTAATTAACTATTAAGACTTTGTTTATTATCCCAGTGCTTTGGAGAAAGCATGATTGGTTTTTGTCCATAACATTTCTGTTATGGGTCAGTCGCAGTGGCTCACGCCCATAATCCTAGCATTCTGGGAGGCGGAGGCGGGCGGATTGCTCGAGGTCAGGAGTTTGAAACCACCCTGAGCAAGAGTGAGACCCCGTCTCTACTATAAATAGAAAGAAATTAATTGTCCAACTAATATATAGAGAAAAAACATTAGCCAGGCATGGTGGCGCATGCCTGTAGTCCCAGCTACTTGGGAGGCTGAGGCAGTTGGATTGCTTGAGCCCAGGAGTTTGAGGTTGCTGTGAGCTAGGCTGACACCACGGCACTCAGTCTAGCCTGGGCAACAAAGTGAGACTTTGTCTCAAAAAAAACCCCAAACATTTCTGTTATGTATATTTTTAGTGCTTAATTTTTCCTACTTGTTATTTGGAATATTTTTTCAAGAATTCACTCATCATCAGACTAGCCAGGCCTGGTGGCTGCACCTGTAATCCCAGCTACTTGGGAGGTTGAGGCTGAGGCAGGAGGATCGCTTGAAGCCAAGAGTTTGAGACCAGCCTGGGCAATATAGCAAGATCCTGTCTCTAGAAAAATAAAAAGTTAGCTAGACATTGTGGCATGTGCCTATAGTCTCAGCCACTTGGGAGGTTAAAGCAGGTGAATTACTTATGCTCAGGATTCAAGACTGCGGTGACCTATGATTACACCACTGCATTCTGCATTCCAGCCTGGGAAACAGAGTGAGATGCTGTCTCAGAAAATCTTTTTTTATGAAGCCATTCATCATTAGTGTGTCCCATTGAACATTAGTGATTTTTAAAAACTTTTCAGTTAAGACCACTGTTAAGATGTCTTGAAAAGTAGTAATCTTATGCTATCTTTTTTTGGTAATAGGAAGCCAGAAAATGACATTTTTAACATGATAAAATCTCAAGTTTCAATTCAGAAACTACATTAAAATGAGATGGATGCTGCATTCATGTGATCAGTAGGCTGTTGCTTGAGACTCTTGCAGACGTTACAGGAAGTCAGAGTACTGCTGACTTTTATATCAGCCACTTTTCATAATGTGCTGTAATTCCATGCTCGTAGTCAAGGGTAGAAACTAACATTGAATTTTCCAAAGGATACATGAATTCTGAAGTTAGTCCATAGTTTATAGGGAGAATCCTTGGACATGGATGTCACCACAGATGTTACCATAGTTAACTGTATTGATTATATCAAATAGGAGAAGGATAGTAACTGTTTTAGTACAAGAAACAGAAAAAAAAAAGAATTAAGGGGCTGAAGGTCATCCTGGTAGCTAAGAGTCACATTATGGAGAAAGAGTTATGTGGACCCTGAAAATAATTTGACTTCTTTTTTTTATTTATTTTTTTTTATAATTTGACTTCTGAAGCACTTGGTCTTGGATATAAGGGAGAGGAAAATTAAAAATTCATGGAAGTCAAGTTTAGTCAGATTTCAACACTCTTTGGCATGAAAAATTCAGGAAGTCCTTAGTTTGTTCTTAGAAAGCATTAACGTTGTTAAAGATTATTCTTATTAACCATAGTAACAATAGCATTTTATATTTGCATGGCACTTTTGAAATTAAAGCAATTTGGTTTGTATTATCCTATTTAATTCACCTACCTCCCCTGTGAGATAATAGAAAAAAGTATCCTCTCCTTTTTCTAAAGAGGTAATACAGAGAGGTTCAATAGTTGCCTAAGGACAAGTAGTAAGTGGTAGAACTGAGCACTTTATATTTTAAATATAAAATGTTGAGGGTGGTTATTGAACAAGTAAACTATCTTTGGTTTTCTAAGATATAAATATATGGTTTGTAATGTAGGATGAATAATCTAAAAAAATTTTATTTAGTACTGTAACTAAACAAAAAATATAGTCATAGGACTGACAATAATCGGTAAGACTCTGAGAAATTTCTTCTTCTTCTTTTTAATTACAATTGTTTGGTATTTTATAAGAAAACTTTAATTTTATCTGAATGAAGCAGGCTGAGAGCCAGACATCTTGTCTTCCAACTTTCACCTTACTCCACCTGCCGCAATATTAGTTGGCATCAGAAGATTTTTTTGGATGTTTTGGGTATTGGGCTTATTGCTGGGAAATGGTTAATAATGTTGTTGATGTTGACTGAGCTGCAAAATGAATCTGACATTGCTGCTGCTTAGGAAAAATTCACTCTACATACAGCACATATGCTTCCCACTAAAAGAAATTACACAAGTAGTGAATGTTCACCAGCTTAGATCTTTTTTCACACACATAGAAGTTTTGAAACAATCTTAAGCCTGCAGTGAAAACATCCTTTTCCCTGAACCATTTAAGAATAAGTTGCGTATGTGTTTCATCACTCTCAAATACTGTATTATGTATTTTCTACAATTAAGAACATTCTCCTCCATACCACTATACAGTAATCAAGATCAGGAAGTTAACATCGAGACATTTCTACCCTTCAGTCCTCTAATCCCATTCCAGTTTGCCAGCTTACCTCTCAGTGACATTTGTAGGAAAATGTCTAATCAGAACCTTGGGTCCCAATTGGTTGTCTCTCCATTCTCTCTTAACACAGCACAGTTCTCAGTCCTTTATGACTTTCATGACCTTGATACTCTTGAGGATTGCAGGCCAGTCATTTTGTGGAATGTTCTTCAATTTGGATTTGTCTGATGTTTCCTCATGATTAGATTGAGATTTTGCATCTTTGGCAGGAATATCACAAAAGAGCCAGAATATATCTCTTTCAAAGATTAGTTTTACATTTTATTTTCTGTTTCCTTAGAGCGTTTCCCAAAGTGTATTCTGCGGAACTAGCACCTACTGTGTTCTCAACACCGTGCCACCTATAGAAGGTAGGATTTGAAAAAGCTTTTGACTTACAGGAAGGGGTGGGATTGGCAGTGAGAGTCATTCCATTGTCTAGTGCAGTGGGAACAGCCTTTGGCCAGGACTCAGGAGACCTGGGTTCTGCATTTAACTGCTGTGTGATCTTAGATGAGTTACTTAATCCTTCAAGGGGAGTAAAAAGAATGCTTTCCTCATAAAGTTTCTGTGGGGATTAAAAAGTCAAAAGATTTAATCATATGGAAAATTCAAAGCACTCTGCACATGTTTGATATTAATATAACAGTTCTGTAATTCTAGTGTCCAATACTAGATGATTTAGAGTAGGAGCTGTGTGGTATTGTGGGAAAAGCCACAGGTCATGTTTGAATCCCAACTGAGCCACTCAGAAGCTGTGGATGTTGAGCAAAGTAATGTGAACCTCAGGTTCCCTCATCTGTAAAATGGGGTTAATTAAGCCCTTATGTTTCATTGTGAGGATTAAATGAGAAGAGTGCAATGTAAAATCCTTTCTGGGTGCCTGATTTAGAGTAAAGTCCCACAAATGTTTGCCCCCTAATAAATAATGGAAGTTAGATTTACTTGATCCCACATAGCTCAAGTTGGAATTGATTGAAATAAAACAGGAGAGGATGCCCGGATACCCAAATTGAAGTGACAGATTGCAGGGCTTCCGTGCCCCACTTTATCTGCCCCCACCCACATATTTTTAGATTGAAAATGTAAATGCAGATAAACAGAAGTTTATTGAACCTTAGTTATGAGACAACCTAAACTTGGACCAGAGATTTGGCAATATGATTGACAGGAAAAGAGTAAATCTAGGCCACCTAAAAATAGAAGGAGTAAGATTTGGTGATCATACAACTCTAAGAAAAGGAAAAGTGTTACTAAATAGCATACTAATTATGTTTTTCTACTTAAGAAGCTATTATTTTTTTTGTTTTTTTTTAACCTTTTGAAAATCTTTTGGAATTAAACTGAGTTCAAATCATTTGGGGACTTTCTTTGGAAAAGAATAATGCAAAATCAGATCAGTGCTTGGCACATAGTTGATGCTTAATTAATACTTATTTTGGATGTATAGTGATTTGAAGGTCTTAGGTTAGTAATGGCAATATTTGCTGCTGTGAGCACTGTGCTGACTTGAATATAACAATACATGCTTATGTTTTCCTGAATCAGTTCCTAGCCTACTAATTAAATCTAAGCACATAATAATTAGAGCTAAACAGAAAATTGTAGAGCTTCCTTTTAATTTTACCACTCCAAGTTGTTGATCAAATATACACCCAATAAGATTTAGCAATTTGATATACTGTTACACCAACTTATTTTGAATAGTTTGGTCTAGAGGTTGAGAGATTAATCATAATCAACTTGATTGAATAACAGTGTTTGTCATTATTCATAGAACCAAAATTACTTTTATTAATTATGAATCAAAATAAAATGGATGTATCATTTCTAGGTTAGAGTTAATATAGTTAAAATTTACCTGACAGAAGTCACAGAGTATTCCAAGGAAAAGTTCAAATTCATTTCTTTGGATTTAAATAAAGGGTTTGGCAATGTGAATCTCAATTTTTAGAAACAAACATGAAAACAAGAATTCTTTTTGCCTAATTCACTAAGTGAATGAGCATTTTTGTACACTTTAGAAAATTTTAGCTAAATTATACTATGCCTCTAAAATTACCGTTTGGAAAATATTTGAAGGTTGACTAGAAGGGATGGTTCATTCTCTAGAATTATAGCTGTCAGCCAAGTGAATCATCTGTCAATTTTAAGAGCTTCACTAGTTATTTTTTTTATTGTGAAGTAGGTTAGAAAATTATTTTGTAAAGTCATATATCATATGTGCATATTTTTTGTTAGATAATAATGAAGTGTTTTACTGTCATTTGGTTGACACTCCCATTTTGCAGTATCAAAGTTTAACTCTTTGGATTGAATACTGAGATGCAGTTGAAACCCGTGTATACCTTAATTTTATTGTTAACTCAGGATACTCTTATTAGGATTTAAAAACTGACACATGCATTTAATTAATTTATAAATTGCAATTATTCTAAAAACATTAAAACATATTTTTATGCAGTATAGCTATGTGAATAGTTCTTTTCCAGTGTAAAAGCAAAGTTACCTTTTATCATATTTCAACTGGAAACCCTGAAATTTGAAAATAAGCGTTTTACGATTTTGCCTGAGTTACTGATAAGTCTTTTCCCAGTATTAAAATTGCTGTCTTCGTAATGCATGGTGGGAAAATTTATCCATTGTTATGTTTCTTAAAAACATCCAGTTTATAATTAGCATGAACCTAAAATTCTGGAACTGGCACAGCTAAAAACTGATTAAGGAGGATCCCATTGGCTGGTCGTACTCCTGTGCCTTTTGAACCTCTGGCCACGCCTCCTGGTAAAGTGTGATGTTTAGAAACTGGGTTGAGATGGTGCTTACACAGCCCTTCTGTTCCTCTTGAAAAGCCTTTGGGCCCATTTACCACTGCCTTATTTGGTATCACAGTGGAAAACTGAGCAGTTAATTGTGCTGTTGAGAAGAGTACCTGTATACTAAACACACACACACTATATACTACAGGGCAGCTGGGTTCCTCAAAGATGCTAAAAGGACAGAAAATTAACATCAGATTGTGATGTTAATTGCACAAACAACACCAGTAGCTGGGGGTTTAATATTCTTTTCATAAGTGTTCAGAATTAGACTCTAAACAAATAGCTTTCTCAAAGATACAACTATTCATGTACAATTCAGAGGGAGCCCATCAATTAAGTAACTAGCATAGTGCTATTTTCATAAAAGGTACCCTGTAAATATTGAATATTTGAATTGAATATAGATTTTAGAATTTCACCTCTATTTTCAGAATCACACATATCATGAGGGATTTTAAAAAATGAGAATAAAACCACTTTAGGGGAAGAGAGAAGGGAGGTAAAGGCTCATGTGATTTGGTATTCTCTGCTTTAAAGTTTTATGGCCCATGGTACCTCCCTTGGGAGGATGAAGTGCAGGGAGCATGCATAAACGCATAAAATTACGGAGGTTTTATAGTATGTAATTAATACAGAACTTTCTATGAACTTTCTTTTAATTGAACATTTTCCTTTTGGTTTCATAGCAAGATTTTTAAAAACTTTAATCTTTTTTGTTACTAAATTAAAATTTGGGATTCTTAAAAGCAGTTAGTTTTTAAGTTTTTATGTGGCTTATAGAAATACAGAATGGGTATTATAATTCAATTGGTTATGTAGTTCATGGACCAAAAAAGATTTAGTACGCTAAAACTCTCTTAAGTTCATCCCTATAAAATATTTCTATATGATGTAGTAAATTTTTTTAGACTTTATTTCTATGCCCAATATTTTTCTTTTAAGATCTTTTCCTTGAGACTTGAGAAGAAATGTGTTAATCATATGAAAAATGTTTGGAGAGGATTTTGTGATCTTAGAAAATATTTCTTATTCTTTTATGTTTTTCCCATGTTAAAAAAATAGAGTATGCTAAAAAAAATTATAGTAAATAACTGGAAAAATATATTGTTGTATATTTCACTTTTAATATTATTAACTAATACTTATATAAAATCGCCTAATAAGGCCCATAAGGGGATATTAAGTTATTTAATGACAGTAAATTTTGTAGGGATTTGTGCCTGGAGGAAAACTAGAAATCATCTAATCTCCTTGATTTGGAAAAACCGAAAATATTAAGTAACTTACCCAAGGTCACACAATTAGAAAGTAGCAGAACTGGGCCAGAATCTTGGACTCTTGACTTTGAGTTCATTGTTTTTATTATACTTTATTAATATCAGAAAAAGTTGTTTCAACTATGGCTTACTGGAACAAATCAGTCTTTCATGTTTTAATGTGTTGTTCCTTAGTACCCAGTTATGCATTGTACTCTTTGGATATTGGGGATTTTATTTAGCATTAAAAAAAAGTGAGTAATTTGAAACTTTGACCTAAATATGTCAAAACTGGCAAGAAATTCTGAGCTAGGCAAAGGAACTTTGTTAGAAGAGTGAAATAATAAATGATATGTAAGTAAATGAACGAAAAATTTTATATAAAGGAAATTATCTCTTCTAGAAAGCATCAGGTAGACTGATTATTAGGTAGTCAGACATACCATCTAGTCTTAAAGTAATTAATTTTTCCTTAATTCATTTAGGAGAGTTACATTTTGATGAAATACATTAATTTTATAGATATGTGTATGTAAATCAAGTTAATTAAAATGATATGTTTTTAGATTCAGGCTAGAAAGGCCAGCTTCTATATTACCCAGGTAGTTAACTGTAGTTTAAATTCGTTATATTTATAATATTTGTGATTTGCTTTTGAAAGGATAAATCTCATTTGTATTCTAGGGGATGAGGTAGTATTAGTTTATGAATAAAATAGTCATAAACTTTTATATATTTTATGAATATAAAATGTTATTATAATTCTTCTTACCTAAAAATTTTTCAGCTGGTTAATAAGCAGTTTCTGGGTTTTGTGAGATTAAGTAATTTTGCAATTTTTATGTGCTTCATGGAAATGTGGGGAAAGAACCTTTAAAAGTAATGTTCTGGTGATGGGCAGCTGCTGGGATTTTCCCTGTCTACTTGCTTGTCATGGAGCAAAAGCCTGATCCTATTTCAGAACCTCTTGACCAGATTCCTGCTGCCTTCTATCTGATAAGTGTGTAAATGAGTGTTTTTACCTAAGAGGAGTAGAGGGGCCTTCTGATATTCTTGGTCTCACATTGACTAAACTGAGTTGCTATTTCTGACCTTGCCAGTGTATATAAAAGGAGATTTTTATCTATTATTGTCTCTGAATTTATTGTTTTCTTCTTTATAGATGATCATGGGAACAGCAATAGTAGTCATGTAAAAATCTTTTTACCGAAAAAGCTGCTTGAATGTCTGCCGAAATGTTCAAGTTTACCAAAAGAGAGGCACCGTTGGAACACTAATGAGGTAGATAAATTTCTTTTTTTAGGGGTATAATTATTTTAAGGGCAAACTTGTTAGGTCATTTGCAGAGTACTACTTTATATTAACTTTAAATTTAAAATATTGAACTAAGAAATTGTAAATGAGATTATTTAATCTGGATTTGACAGAAACCAACACGTTTCTTGATCTGTCTCTGATCTGCTTGGCTTGAGTTGAAAAACGTAAAATGTGCACGCTGACTTAACTCAGGTAGCATGAGTTTCTGTATTTGTATTTTCTTGTGTTTTGGTGTCTTGCATTTGGTGGTTAACTCTGCCTGCATGTCAGTTAAACATTAATTCTTATGTTGTCATGAATTAATAAATATACAGCTCCAGTGTTCCACAGAATGTGTAGTGTCTTGACAATGCGAAGTTTCTGTAGCATTGGAAGGGCAGGATTCTTAGGAGCAAAACAACTTTTAGTCCTTTCTGATGAAGAAAGTTTGATTAATGATAGAGATTTTTATTAAGAATGAAGGCTGTATAGTATTAATAGATTATATCTTTGGCATCCAATTAGAAAATAGATTGATGAAATAGAATGAAGAAAAGTTTATCTTGGATGTTTTTCTTTTTGGTAAATTTTAGTCTGGGAGTCTTAATATTAGGAGTGGATTACTTTGTCATCTTTTTTACTTTGAAATCTGAACATCTCAATTTAGGGTAGTACCCATTTAGTGTGGTGATGAGAATTGGGTGTATGTCCATCAATTTGGGGAATTATAGTCCTTTAATTCAAATGGCCGGTTACTGGTTTTGCCAAGTTGGTCTAAATATATTTGTGTTGCTGGTTCAACATTTACTTCCAAGTTAAGGTAAACATAGCACCCTCCTGTGCTGCTTGTTGAGCCTTATTTTTGGAAGATTCTTTTGTGCTAACTATTCTTGATGGAGAATGCTTTTGTTTTGAGTTGTGGGAGGCTGTGTGGATGAAGGTCTCTTTACTTACCACAGGTTACAGGTTTAGATACTTACTAGAACTTTGTGGCTTTGTCATCTTATCTCAGCTGATTCTAAAATTTTTTTAAGGTTTGTATATTTTGATCGTTTCTATAAGTTATATTTTCCCCTCAGAATTGTTTTAACAAACCTTAGTTAGTTTAGAGGACTGTTGCTTTAATCAGTTATTTCAGACATCTTAGACATGAAAACGAAGTAAATATGCTGAAAATTAGTCTTAATTATAGATCATTACTCTTAACAACAAAATAGTGTAGTTTGGAAGCCATTTAGTAGGTCAGAACTAGGTTATGAATTATTTAAAAACTCAGTATATTTCTTAGTATTTCCTGAAACATAGATTTGATACCATGTTGTTATATGTTAGTTTATTTATAAATGTAACAAAGCACATAATAGATACATATTTTTTCAATATTATATGTCATATAAAGTTGGCAATTTAATTGTGATTTGACATTATATTTGAAAGCAGAAATTCTTAGTGGATCAAAAATAGTGGCCTCAAGAGCTTTATAAAGCTGGATGTAGCAGTGTCGGGAATTTAGTTGGTAGATTGTTTAGATCAGCGGCTTCAAAACTTTTTTGAAACTTTTGATTACAGCCCTTCAACTTTCATGTATTTATTTACCTCTAAATTATTTGTGTGTTCCTTTTTGCTAATATATTAGATACATTATAAAGCACCCAATAAAGAATTTTTATTGAATATGAGACTAAAAGAAAAAAATGAGAAGTTGTTCTGTATTTTCTTCAAAGACCCCAGTACACATACTCTCTTGGAGACCACAGGTTGCTGTGGTCCAAGTTACAGAGGGAAATGCATCCCTTTCTCTGACTGGTGACATGTAAAATTGGGGATCTAAATGAAAGAATGTGGATTGCTTTGTTCAAGCTGTCACTATTGCTGAAAACATAGGTAGGAGAATGTATGTTGCCAAGGATGGAGGCAGCAGGAGGTGGCACAGCTGACAGGGCGAGCCATTCATGCAGCACGTTCCCCTGTGGTCGGTGGTTCTTTCAGTACCTTCTCAGCTCAACACTGACAAAAACTCTTATGAGAGAACTGAATTTAAAGGTTGACCCATATTTCTGTGTAGAGGACCTTGGCTTTTTTCCTTGTTTCTTTATTTTTTGGCTTTAGGAAAAATGGGGAAATGTTAGATGTGATAGCAGAAGTCTTCTGTTAGGAGTTCTTAATTCTGCAGAGTTGTATGGTGATGACCTGTCATTGTTGTTTTTTTTTGTTTTTTAGACTGCTTTGGATAATAGGAGGAACCAAACAGTACTGTTATTAAAGCACTTACTTCTTTGATCTTGCTGTGTATTAGCACTTTCTCATGTTCTTCAGCTTGCTGTCCTTCATGTTGACATTAACCTGAAGGAAACGTAGTTCAGTGGGCTTGTTTCTCACTGAGATTTTGTGGTCCTATTTAAGGCAAAATCATGCTTTGTCAAAATTGCCTGTAAAATAACTTGTCTCACTCATAAAGTAAAGTTTAGTCATACGGTCCTTATTAAGAGCCCATTTTCCTTCCAAAGTTGGAATGGATTTCTGTGTTTTGTTTGAGGACCACTTGAAGTAGTTGCTTTCTAAATAGAATCTGTGTTGTACAAAAACTACATTTCTTAGATGCCACTTTAGGGGCTGACACTGGAAGAGGCACGCAGTTGAGAGCACAGTAGATTTGTGTTTTCTGTCTCACTCTCTGTACAGCATATGTTCACAAAGGAAGACTCGTGGCCCGAGCTGCCCATATGAAATGTCAGCTGTCATATTTTGCATTTTCCATGTTTTATCTTTCTCTCTCACCTCTCTCTCTCTGCTTAGTGTATACAGTTGAATTCCTGGGTATAATGTGACTCCTCCTCTGTACTTTTAAGGAATTCTTGTCTTTAAATATTTATGGTTCTGTGAGGAAACCCAACTTTTCTACTGTGTCTGTGTGTGTTGAGAGGAGAATGAGATTGTGTCCATTCAAAACCTGCCACTTATTAAGCACCTGTTCTTTAATAGTGACTGGGTACTTTATTTCTAAGCCTTATAGTAATATTGCAAGATGGATAATATTTCCATTTAGAGGTAAGGGGGTGTAGATAGAAAGTGATTAAATAATTTGATCAAGGTAGCACACTTGATAGGCCCTGCCTCTGAGCTTAATTTCTTCTATGTTGGTTACTAATTCTTAGGAACTTCCCTTCTGTTGTTTGTTGTCTAGGCTTTTAGTCAAAGACCCTACAACTCTGAACCACACTGGTGTACTTAGCAAATCCACTCTATAGTGTAGTTTTGAATTAAAAAAAGTTAGTGTAGGATTAGTATTGTGGGTTCATATAGAATTGTTTAGTGTAACTGAAAGTCACTAAAAGGAAGACTATATAAGAAGATAGTCTTTAAGCTACTTTTAACCTTTTCTAACCCATTGGAATACATAAAATCTCCTGCCCTTTTTGGATGTTATTTGCAAAATAAATGTTGTATCTAAAAAAATAAATCAATTTTAGATTATACTTTCTCAACCAAAAATACTGTTCCCCAAGTTCTGAAGATGACAAAGGAAATGAAAGTGATGACAGCAATTATGGAAGCTTAACAATTATTGAACATCTATTGTATGCTAGGCATTATTGCATCCTTTACATGAATAATCACGTTTAGTCTTCAGATTAATCCTGAGGTAGGTTATTTGATTGTCCTCATGTTATAGATGAGGAAACCTGAGCTATGGAGATGTTAAATAATGTAGCTGGAGTCAGAGCTGGAAGGTGAGGGACTGGGGAATTCAGCCATGCAGCCCAACTCTGGGCCCACATTTCCTTCTGTTCTGTCCTAAAGAACAATTTCAAATTGACTTTTCAAGATCTGGCAGCTGTTTGGTTACTTCTTATCTTTTTATTTTATGGAATTGTTTGAATTCTTTATTCACGTACATTTTTAGGTGTTATAGTAAAATTAATGTATTTTTTGCATGTTTTTTTTTAAGTATCAAACACTCATCTCTTAGGAGACTTAGTTTTGATTCTTAATAATGAATATGTGTATGTTGGCTCTGAATAATGAAGAAAATATATTAAAAGTAGAAATTTTGTACCTGTGTGTAACTTGAGGGTTAGGTCTAATTTTTATATTCAGGGGCAGGGGAGAAAGAATGTATTAAACCAGAGCACATTCATTAAAGAACCAACTCTTGTTTCATAATCAGTTTGGTATTCACATCTTCATTAGGTGAACTATTATAAGGTTTCTGCATTTTAAGTTAATATTTTTAAGGCCCAGAGCCAGAAATAATTATGCTAATGCAACTTTCTGATTGCACAAATGACTATTTCATAATTACACATATTAGTACTTCATATATGTTGTCCAGACTGAATTTTCTTTTATTTAGTCATTAATTAGCCGTTTGACTTAAAATACAACTACTGCATTCCCCAGTCTCTGAATCTAGATTTCAAATGGCATTCTTCCAAATCCAAGCTAATGTAGCACTGTGAACCTTTTGTAATGAAAATGTTCTCCCTAAATATGTTCAAATCACTTTTGTGTGCTATTTTTGAACTATTAATGTTCTTGCTTTTGTTTGTTTTTCCTATAATGTAGTTTCTCTAGAGTAATCAAACAAAATAGAATTCTAGTTTGTACTGATTCTTAAAGTTGCATCAAATGTTTTTAGTTGGTGGTAGCTTTAGAGTTTCATATTAAATGCATTTTTAAATGGTGAAAATGTCTTAGATGGATAGATTCTAAGCCACACCCAAAAGCCTAAAGAAGAAAAACAAACTCTGAATATAATTATAATACTTTTTTTTTTTTTTGTGGAGACAGGGTCTTGCTCTGTTGCCCAGATTGGAGTGCAGTGGCAATCATGGGTCACTGCAGCCTCAAACTCCTGGGCTTTAAGTGATCCTCCCACCTCAGCTGCCTAGGTAACTGGAGCTACAGGCGCATACCACTGTGCCCAGATTATTTTTTAAAAATTTTTGTGGAGATAGGGTCTTGCTATGTTACCCAGGCTGGTC